TGTGTGTGTTCATTACTCACTGCTGTGTGCGTGTGTGTGTGTGTGTGTGTGTGTTCATTACTCACTGCTGTGTGTGTGTGTGTTCATTACTCACTGCTGTGTGCGTGTGTGTGTGTGTGTGCTGGATGGGTGAAATGCAGAGCACAAATTCAAGTATGAGACACCACACGTCACTTTCAAGTTTATTATTTGATTATTATTTGATTATTTTTGTTTCTGCATTATTGCAACTTAATATGCGTTTCTGGATCAAAACATGCATTTGGCCTCATTAATGTTATGCAAGGATGTGTTTGTCCATTGCTTGTCGAGTAAAAATCTCACTGCTTAAAAACGTACCATTTTGGCTTAAAGGGGTCATATGATGCAATTTCAATTGTTCTTTCTCTTTGGACCGTTCTCAAGCCCGCCGTGTGTGACGCTGTTTCGACTAGAAATCAGTGTTAAGTTGTATTTACAACACTGTTCCAGAACAGTTCAACCCAAATATTCAGATGTGTGCAGCACATTTTATGGAGGACTGTTTCCTGATCCTGGGAGAGTAGACTACAATGCCGGCTGTTCTGACTCACAGACTGTAAGTACGTTTTTCTATATTTAAAGCGTTTTTATATTTTATATATATTTAAAGCAAGTTTTTTGGGCAGTGTAGAGTAGGGCTTGTTGTTTGTCATTTCTCCGATCACAAATGCAGACATGGTTTTATGTTTGCGCGGCGCGATGCAAACGCAACGCGTAAAAAGACAGTATAAGTCATTATAATCAGTAATTATGTCCCCACTGGAGGCAACAAATGCCTCGTTTGTAATGGGTTTTAATGTTTTTGTCTCGTCGCTCCAGCCGGACACGGCATCACAGTATGGTGAGGGGTTTTCAGACCGATGAGCTTTGTAAAAATCGATGCGTTTCAGAAAGGCGGGGCATAGAGGAGAAACAATAATGTACAGTATGTGGAAAATAATGTGCTTTTTGAACCTTAAACCGCATAAACACATTTCATTACACCAAATACACAACATAATGCTCTTTTTAGCAGCATCATATGACCCCTTTAAGACTTTATAGAAGTAAGGATTCAAAACTGTTGAGCAAATTGCTAAGTATTAGAAATAGCTTCTGCAGGTTTTATTAAGGTGAATTTGACTTTTTAAAGACCTTTTTATAACCAAACTAAAAAATTTAAGGAATAAGTGAAACATTAATATGGTCTCTAAATGTAAATGTCTTGTATTAGAATGCTTCAAAGTTAAAAAAAAATACTTAATTACTTAAAAACGAATCACCATTACTTTTTAATTCATTTAAAAAAACTGTTTAAGGCTTGAATAGCTCTGATCTCAAACACTAAAACTGGACTTCTGCAAAAAACGGATGCTCTTCCTCAGTATTTTTGTCTTGTTTTCCAGTGCAAATGTCTAAAGATTCTTAAATACAAGATGCATTTACAAAATGGCAGATATTTGTTCTTGTTTCAAGCAATCACTCATTTTGTTCAGTTTCTCAGGAAACAATGTACAAAAAAATGCATCTTGATTTGAGGATGTTTAGATATTTGTACTGGAAAACACAAATAGCTTGGAAGATGCTTATTTAATTTTTTTTGCAGTGCATGCAAAATTTAATGCATGACTTTATGAATTTAAGACCTATTTAGGCCTTAATTTGTGGAGAAGCGATTACTGAGCGAACATAACTAATAAAAAGAATACTTGTGCAGTAAAAGAAAATAGTAAAAGAGCATGCACTGAAAGCGTTTTTCACTGCTGCGAAACTGGTGTTTGTCTCTTTAAATGCTTCCTCACTTTCATCCATGTTCTGGAAGTCCTGGTTGAGCTCCTTCTCTCCGGTTTTCCCATTCTCTTTCCTCTCGATGACGTGGCCTCTGTCCTGGATGTGATGGGCGATGGACATCTTCTGCAGTCCGCTCTCAGAGTCCTTCAGACTCCTCCTGGTCTCCTTTATCTGAACACAGCATAAAGCACCCATCATAACACTGATCCGCAGGAGGTGCTGCGGTGTGAGTGTTCGAGAGCAGGACTCACTCCTCCAGGAGCACAGCGCGTCTGAGACGAGGCCTGGAAGACTTTGGCCGGCTCGTCTCCCATCTTAGAGTACGTCATGACGGAGGAAGAGGAATACGAGTGGCTGTTGGGGTCTGACGCCATGTTCTCCTAAAAAAAGAAACAGTTACAAAAACATCTCAGGGACGCTGAATTCAGTCGAGGAATCGGGAGTCACCGGCTCATACTGACTGGTTGTTTGTACAATGAAAGACACACTTTTACAACAAAGTTCATTTGTGATAAGTGCTACTTAAAAATCTTGAAAGAATCCGAATCACTGAATTGCTTACAACTGCCATCCCTACTGATGAATAAGAAAACAGCTCATTATAAAAAAACCATTTCAAAAGAACAGCGTGTTTCAACATCCTTGTATGAGGTCTATTCATTCTAATCCGTGAAAGATGGTCACTGATGCGGTGTTGAAGAGACTTACTACATTTCTATGCATGGCCTCCATCCTGTTCCTCATGCTGTCCATCATAGCGAAAGGATTGTTAAAGAAATCCAGCTCCTGTTGACATTAATCACACACATTTACTGAGCTTGCTTCACATGCACGTACATGTTTCTCTATATATACTGCAGACAGCAGTTATTCAAACTTAACTCTCCTTACAGACTGTCTTTAAATCCGTTTTCTTATATTTAGAGCTTAAATGCAGACTGTGTGATGCTGTGATGTTTTTTGGCGTGTATGAAGTTGCATGAAGTTGTGCTACCAGAGTTAACATGAAATGCATCTGCAACCCATTCTGACCCATTCGGATTTCAAAACAGGAACTTTATTTTCTCCATTGAGAACTGATATGAATTCTAACATGCGGAAGTGACATGTTAAGCAGTGTCCTGTAGTGTGATGTACTATACCTCAATGTGCTTTAATTAATACAATAAATTACTAAATATTATAGTTAATTGAAAGACTACATGGAATTTTTGTTCTTTTGAATATGCATTTGTCACTGCAGGACTACTGAAGCAAACTGCAAACATATTTAAAATGTATAAAGTGTAGAAGAAATGGTGACCTGTTATGATTGTTAAATACATTTTTCTTATACATTCGAATAAACTATAACATCATATCTTTATGGCGGAAAAAGCTTTTTTTTTATAATTAATGTGCTTTTGTATTGAATGTATACTATTAAAAAAACTGTACTTGCAGATAAAATAATATTACTGATATAAAAGGCCACTTTAATCTGTTATTATTTTGATGTGTTGACTAACATGCTAAAACACACTTGAAATGTAGTGTGTTATTCAATATTAGATTAAAAGCTAATATATTTAAAATGTTCTAAATTGCAGCTTCATCATTACAACTGTGTAATTACAAGTGTATTTAAATACATGACATACAAGTTTCAATAGAAATTATATAACGACAAAATATATAATTTAAGTTACCATAAGTGCTTGTCAGTACATTCAGCAGTAATGTAAGCATATTTCAAAGACAAAAGAAGTAATTATGAAATTACATAACTCCTACTTAGGTGGGTCAAAAAGCATTAAATTCAACAGATTGCATCTAACAATAACACATTTTCATTTAATCCAAAAGCATTTCATTCAGTTCACTTTTAAAGTAAATTCCTTTATATTCTAGAACATTATTTCTGTAATAAGTGCTCTTTTTAAAAATATAATAAAGTGTGCATGATTTTCAGAAGGGATATCAATGTTGTCAGCAACTTTTAACAATGTTTTATTGGCCACAATGATACTACCATGATTTATAATTACACAAGAGTTTAAATGATCAATATGATTGATTGATTATTTATTTTGTGCATTACAGTAATGAGAAAAAAAATAGCTAATGTTTAGAATTTTGGGCTCGGGAGGTTATTAATTGTCAAAGGGGGGAAAAATCACACAAAATATAACTGCAAAATATACATGTTCTTGGCTAATTCAGTTTCTTTTCATTTTGGAGTTTAATGAAACGTTTCATGAAAGTTTCCATGAGATTCACATCTGTATGAACAAAATGGAGAATAAAATGGTACAATGTGTGAAAAGACAATTGTATGTGTTTGTGTGGATGGACTGAAGAACTATGTGTGAAAAATGTCACAATAAACACAAAAAACTAAACATGCAGGACAATCACACTTAGTTAAACACACCTACAGATGATGAGAAGGACAAACACTCACTGAAAACACAGGGCTACATACACAAGGGCAACTTAATAATGAACAGGTGCAGCTAATTACCAACCATGGAGACAAACAAGCAGAAAACAGGACTGAACAATAAGGAGGCACAGAAAACACAGAAACAAGATGAAAACTAAACAGAGCGTAATCCTGACAAAAGCATGAATGCTTCAGTAACTCTTGGTGCTGAGAGCTCTGGATGACTCCCAAAATTGGTAGCTGTCTCTGGATGACTCCCAAAATTGGTAGCTGTCTCTGGTTATGGCGTCTAATAATGGAGAAGCAGCTCGTGTTTCTCTGAAGGTTTCTCCTCAAGCTAATAAAGCCCCTAGAGAGCACGGCTCGGCTATCTGCTCGCGCTGGAGTGTATATTTAACCCGCCGGAGGAAGGGTCACGAACGCTATTTTAGGTGGGCTGTGCTTGGAAGACACAGGGCTGAGGTCACGACTCATTTATGCTGCATGCTTTCACAGCGCTGGTCTCATCTGGGCAGAAGAACAGACCCACTGGGAAAACACTTTTGATTTAGCAAATGAGCCACACAGCAGAGCTCTCCGAAGACGACACGGTTCTGGGAATGATCACGACATCAGTAACACCTCGGATGCGGCCTTAACATTGAAAACATTTCTCAGGTTGCTCTGTTACTAAATGCACATGTGACTCTGCTGCGCAATGTTGCCAAATGTGCAGAAGTAATTTACACGATCAAATGATGATCACCATGTGAAGCAGCCAACCGGAAGGGAAATGTCATAGTCCAATAATTGTTCACTTTAAAAAACCTATTCTAGCTAACAGTGAACTAGTTTAGTTAACTGCAACAGCGGCTTGAGCGCACTGTCCTGTCTGCGTCTGAGAATGTGTTACTCGACAGCAGCGATTTGTTCTGCCAATAGCCATAATCCAAAAATATTCAGATCCTCTACCAGTGGTTTCTGACCGTCTCAAGAACACGGCACACACAAACAGCAAGAAAATTTGCTGAAATCACCAGCTCAGATCTGATTAGCTGGGCTTTCGATTATGAAAATAGTGTGGTATTTGGGTAGGGAGAGCACCTGTCCCGTATTTGGCAGGACAGTCCTGAAACTTAAAGCCAGGGGCTAAATTTGGTTTAGGAAAATGAACGGGAATACAATCATCTGACCTGAATGCTTCTTCAACCACTGTATTTGTGTTTTTACAATTTATGTCACGGTGCGTGTGGAGAGATGAAGCGAGGACTCAAGTGCAGGATGAAGGGTTCTTTCTTTTAATAATAAAATTAAACAAAAACAAACTAAAACAACCCCGAGAGGGAAAAACAGACAGGCAGGCTAGGAACTGCACTACATGCAGACATAACACACACAATGAAAAA